GGACCCAAACCCAACGGTCACTGATAGTGTAGTAGTGGGATTTTGCCTTTGTCGTTTTCCTTTGGGTTTATGATTGGATTGAGGCTTTGCGGGAACTGTGTTTGAACTTTGAAATACTCTATGTTTCAACTACTTGCCGTTTTGATTCGATTGGGTTTAACGTCGTGCCGTTTTATCTTCGTGAGTCATCCAAAGCCGATAAGCTAGAGCCTCAAACCATTTGAGTGGCTATTAGACCATCACTGTTAAAAAATAGTCCAAACCATGAGAGGCCACAACATCGTTGAAGCCCATTATCATCGCCATGGCTAAAGCCAGCAGCAGTACTCTGTTTGCTGTCTCTTTCTCAGCTTCGGCTCGTTTCTCTCTTCTCCATCGCTCTGAATCACTTAAACCCTCAGTTTCAAGAGCGAGATTCGCTGTTCCAATGGCTATGGCTGCCCCTGGTTCCACCACCGCTAAAAAACTGGCTCCTGCTGTGATTGTTGGTGGCGGAAGAGTCGGAAGGGCGTTACAAGAAATGGGTAGTGGTGAGGATTTGTTGGTGAAGAGAGGAGAAGAAGTTCCTGTTGATTTCGAAGGACCCATTTTGGTTTGTACTAGAAATGATGATCTTGATGCTGTTCTTGAAGCTACTCCCAAGTCTAGATGGAAAGGTAGAACCTTTGTCTTGATTTCAAGAATCCTCAATGAGTTAAATTGTCAGATGTTTGGGCAAATTCCAGTTTTCTGGTTTCATCTGGATTTTAAATGATCAATTTCACATTTGGTATGCTAAAAATGTTGTGTGTAATTTAATCAGATTTGGTGTTCTTCCAAAATGGAATGATGGAGCCGTGGTTTGAGAGCAAAGGATTGGTTGATACAGACCAAGTGTTAGCCTATTTCGCTGTTTCAAAGCTCGGTGAGCCTCCAGTGGATGGAAAGACTGATACTAATCCAGAAGGTCTAACTGCTGCTTATGGGAAATGGGCTTCAGATGTAGCTGCAAGATTGCAATCTGGTGGCCTCTCTTGCAAGGTTACAAGAAGCAAACCTATTGTTCTATTATAAAGAAGAATACGAAATGCACGAAGAAACTAAATGTGTTTTTGTTTCGCGGTGTATCTGTGGGTAGGTACTTGACAAAGAAGCTTTTCAGAAGCAAATGCTGGAGAAACTCATTTGGATTTGTGCATTTATGCTTGTTGGAGCTCGTCATCCAGGTGCAAGTGTGGGCATGGTGGAGAGAGAATACAGAGATGAAGTACAAAATTATATTCTTCGTTTCGTTTTAGCGTTCATAATTGTTGTTTTGTTCTAATTACTTATACATTCAGGTGTCGAGACTCATCCAAGAACTCGCAGCAGCTGCTGCTGCAGAAAAAGGACTAACCTTTGAAGAAAACATGGTGGAGAGACTATGTGCTTATTCCCGAGCTGTTGCTCATTTCCCGACCGCTGTTAAAGAAGTACATATATATTTTTACCATTCTTGATCTCTCTCTTTTTCAATGCCTGTGCTCCAGTATCTGTGTCTCACCTAGTTTTCTGATTACTGCAGTTTAAATGGAGGAATGGTTGGTTTTATTCGCTCGCAGAGAAAGCGATTGCAGAAGGGAAACCTGATCCGTGTCCCCTCCACACCGAATGGCTGAGGGAGCTTAAAGTGATATAGAGTCTCAGCTTGTGCAACTTGTGAGTATATGAATTCAGTAATGTTCTTACATATTCTTAATAGAGGATTTGAATCTAGTGTGAACTTTTGTACACGCATGAGAATTTAAAATAAAGATGGATTTGCCTAACAAATTGTTCACCCTTTGGAAGAAAAAACTGAGACTTTTAGCGTTGCAAACTCTGTCTTTTCAATGAATCAATACTTCTGTTTCTTGTCCCATTAATTAGAAAATTCGATGGATGTTTCCATAATTTTCTGTTTTCAAAGATTCTCAAAGAGAAGACTATAGAATCTTCTTCATTAACCAGCAAATTAAGATAGAGACATATTTAGACTTTTTAGACAGAGACACAAGTTGGTCCAAATAGGCAACTTTTGAATGTTTCTAAGCTTAGTTACTATATAACACAGGATTTTACTTTAGTTTAAGCATCACATAACATAACTCGGGATAATTTTCCGCC